TTAAAAAAATTTAGTCTCTATCAACCTTTTCTCTATAAATTTTAGAAACATATTGACTATCTATAAAAGGTTTCTTATCCAAAAAAAATTATCGTTTTTAGTTTGCCAAGTTAGATAAAAATTAACTTCATACTAACGGTGATGAAAATTTTGAGACTTATTGAAAGTGCAAGGGACTAAAATGGAATGAATCCCAAAGTACACAAAATTGTATTTATCTTTATATTTATTTTACCTAATCTTTGTATGAAAATGCTAAAAGAATGCTTGAGAATGTTTTTTTTTAGTACAACTTGTGGGGTTGCGATTCAAACCCACGACGTTATGGTCGGTAACTAGTTGAACTATGCTCAGGTTGGCGATGTTTGAGAATGTTAACTATTGTGTTTATTTTGTGGGAATAGATATGGGTTAGGTGTTACACAAACTAAATTTTGGGTTTGTCTTTTTTTTATAACAAATAACTTATACAGCCTATATCTCTGGCCTTATAAAACTCAACATTTTGGTCGGAGGTCCTAATGATCAATTATATGTCGAGAACAAGGTGCGTTTTGGGAGATGAGGAATGTTATAAATATCACTGGGATAAAATATTAGAAATGTTATTAGGATATTAATGGCAAATTAGTCATTAACTAAGGAGTTTTTTAGTTAGAGCTGGTTATATATAGATTTGAGGAAGAGTGGTTGAATCTAGCAATTGTTTAGCTGTTGAGCAAGCTCGAGCTTGCTGAGAGGTGGCCGAGTTTCTAGAGTTACTTCAATATTTTATTGTATTTTCTTATTTTTCTGTTCAACACTTTAGTTTTGATCGAACTAGTTGGTTGACTTATTTTTTACTAGAAATGTTAAATTTGTTCATTTATACGGCCTACCACAATAAGCATTTTGGTGTGGAGCAGAAATCTATCCTTCCTTGCCATGCCATATAGCAGCATCTAGCTTTGCTAGAGAAGGATAGTGTGTGTGTATATATATATAAAAGAAACCTGTATATACCAGCAAAAAGAAGGAAGGAAACAACCCAAGGGCTGGGTAGAGAGAACCCCACCTAAGAAAAAACCAAACAAAGGCTTTCTAGTTATTCATAAACATGGAAAGATTGTAGTTACAAAAGAATTTAATTGAGGCACCACTAAGAAGTAGTGTGTTGTACACTTCAACAAAAAAACATATGAAGCAGAGACCTTTATCTTAAAAAATACAACGATTCCTTTTTAACCATAAATGCCACAAGAGAGCTCTTGTAGCACAATTCCAAATAAACTAAGCTTTTCTAAGTATATTCCGTCCCAAGAGAGCTTCAGGTAACCAACTATCGATTGGTAGGTAGACAAGGATGGTAGTAGTAGAGTAGCACATATCTTTATTTAGTCTAGTTATAACTCTTATAAGGAAAATTGAGGATAGAGCTTACTAACCTAGTCACATCTCTCGCCTATCTCCTAATTGGAAGATAGAGATTATTCATGTGAAACTTCAACATCTTCTACCAGACCCTAAATAACTTGCAATCCCTTGTAGATAAGTAAATTTAGAATTTCATTATGAAGTGGTGTCATTAAAGATGTTGGAGAAGAGGTTTGTCCCCTTATTTTTTATGATTTTAAATGGTCAGTGCGGTGGTGATTACTAAGAACTTGTTTGGTAGTTCTCAATTCCAATGTTCTATTTTTTATTTCTTATTTTTTAGGAATGAAAAACAAAAACTTGTCCAAAAATATGTTTAGTAGTCATTTTAGTTTCTTGTCTCACAAATTTTAAATTAAAAAATTAAGGTTTTATTTGTAAAATAATTTATTAAAATAAAATATTCAAAAATTTGTTATGTTATATTTAATCCTAATATTATCATGCATTTTATAAGTAATAATGATAAAATAATACTTTTTACTTATATTTTTGAAAAATTGGAAACAAAAAATGAGAAAGAAAAAAAAATAATGGGGTTATTTGGTAATGCTCTTATTTCTTGTTTTTATTTTTTATTTTTCATTTTTGAGAAATATATAGTCTGGTAAATGTTCCTGATTTTTTGTTTCTCATTTCAAAAAATTGTTCTCACTATTCTATGCAAACTTTGAATGGAACTAAATTTAGTTTCTTATTTGTTGATTCCTATTTCTAGTTTTTCGAAAACATAAATAAAAACATTATTCAATCATTTTTTTACTTATAAAATTCATACTAAACATAATTAAATATAACATAATAATTTGAATATTTTAGTACAAATGATTTTTTATGGAAATTTTTAATTTTTGGTTAAATTACAAGTTTTAGTCGATGTGCCTTTAGACTTGTGTTTAATTGGTTCTTGAATTTTAAAATATGTCTAGTAGGTCTTGACCTTTTAAAGTGCCTAATAGTCTTTAAACTTTCTATTTGGCGTCTAATAAATCTCTGAATTTTAAAAGTGTTAATACCTAAACTTTCAGTTTGTGTCTAATAGGGTCCCTGATCTATCTGACATTATTTTAAATTCACGAATATATTACACAAAATCTTTCAAACTTGTGTCTAATAGATTCGTGAATTAAAAAAAAATAATAATAGAACACTTTTACAATCGAGAGATCCGTTAGACTTAAAATTGAAAATTTAGAGATTTATTTGACACCTTTTGAAATTCATGGACAAGTATTTTAACCTTATTTTTTTTAATTTAAAATTTTTTAATTTAAGAGAACAAGAAATAAAACCTTATTTTTTTAATTTTGAATTTAAGAAAACAAGAAATAAGAAACAGTTACTATACACGTTTCTATTTTTTTTAAGCAATAAATAAACATACAAGAAAGAGTTACCAACATGTTTTGGTTTTTTCATTTAGAAATAGAAAACAAGTAACAAGGAACATAAAATGGAAACATTACTAAGTGGGTCCTACAATTTTTATTTTCAAAATTTTTATTTAATTTTGAAAATGAGAAACCGTTACAAAATGCACATGTTTCTAAAAGACTAGAAACATTTATCAAATAACCCCTAAAGAATCTAAGTTTGAGTTGGTTGGTAGATAGGATAATTTTTGGAGTAATATGGATGTCAGTAAATGTGAGGTGGGCTTCTAGAACATAATATCTTAAAATATTAGACAAGAAGTATGAAATAGGAATATTGGCAAATAGGACTTTTAAAATTCCCTAGCTTGGATGATTTCACTGTTGAATTCTTGGAGAAAGGACAGAACTTTTCAAGGTTATAATATGGTTATTTTTTGAGAATTGTATTACCAACAAATGTGTAGATGAGTTTTGTTTAATTCTAAACAAAAGCAATGTGGCTAAGGTGAGTGATTATTGGCCAATAAGCTTGGGATATTTTCTCTATAAACTTCTCAAATAGCTGACAAAAATATTGAAGAAAGTACTGCCTTGGATAAACTCATCTACCATTTTTAGAAGGAAAAAGAACAGAAAATTCTAGATGCCCTCCTCATTACCAATGAATGTGTAAAAGGCTAGAAGAGAAAAAATAAAGAGGCTATACCTTGATGGAATTATGCAGAGAAAATATTTTGGATATAAGTGGAAGGTCGTAGACTATTGATTATATTTCCAATTTCTACATCATTAGGACTGGAGGTCCTGGATAAAAGATGGATGCTTCGGACAAAGAGATTCTCTTCTCCCTTTCTTTTTTTATCCTGGTGGCTGATTTATTGAGTTGAATTAGGACCAGATAAAACATTTAAGTGTATATGTGATGTGATTTTATATACCACAATAGAGGAAGAAACAGTTCTAAATTGTAAGAAAATGTTGGGACACATTTCAAAGGATTCAGGTTTGCTATTTGCGTATTAATCTTCTCAAATTCTCTATTGCTAGCATTAATGTCTCAGATGGAATAAGAGAGGGGAGGGTTGTTTGTACTAGGTCGTAAATAAGAAAAGCACCTTCAATTATCTTGGCCTCCCTTTTAATGGACCCCCTACTTTCTATGTATTTTGGGGATGTGTTATCAGTTATGGAGTGAGTTTTTTGCCTATTTAACTAAATAGAGGAAGACTTAGATTTCCAAGGGAGTGAGAGCCTAACTCAGTTAGTCTCCCTTCAAAAATAGGTTTGTCACGACAACTATTTTGGTAACTAGTTTAGGCTAGCTTACGTACATCTTGATTATTTCTAGCCTCTAACACCTAAAAGGCATCCATGGTGGTCAATTTTGAGAAGATTATTTGAGAACTTGATGTGGGAGGGGGCTAATTTTGAATGGATGCAACCATATTGTTAGATAGAAATGAGTATTTCTCCCTCAAGAGCTTGGGGGACACATTTAGGAACATCGAGAACATAAATATTTCCCTTCTTAGCAAATGGATTTAGAGGTTCACGCTATAAAAGGTCACTCTTTTGAGAATGGTTACGAAAGGAGATAATGTCTATGGAGTTCATTGATATAAGAGAAATGATAACTGATCCCATTACCAAGTAGTTGGCTGCCACTCTTTGTGTTTCTCTTTTATCGCTCAATTTGTTGGATAAATCCTTTCTTGAAGGTGTCTCCTTCAGAAGACGTTTTAGCAATAATAATCCATGGTATAGACGTCATGAGTTGTTTTTGCATTTTTACCTTTTGTAGAATGTAAGCTTTTTCGCTATTGCTTAACTAGAAGAAACTGAAACTCTATTTTACATTAACAACTCTTCAATATTGCTTTGGCATGATTTATTTTATATTGTAAGATTACGAGGTATAATTTAAGACAATCATGATTTCCTGTTTCTTCCATCTAAATAATTGATTATGGTAAGGTTATACATAAGTGAAAAGGTCTACAGCATTTCCACAACGAACCCATTCACGAATGAGTAAAATATTAAGGATGCTCCGCAATTTGTAATGTGGAGGAACAACTGTTCAAGACTCTCTTGTGACAACATAAATTGATTGTGTGTTATCATTCTTCTCTATGAATACCATCCACATTAACAGTCCTATTTTATTCTATTTTTTCACTCAATTTTACTAATAACTAAACTACATTGCAGGATCTTAGTTCTTTAGGAGCATAGGCAGACGATGGCAGAGATGTAGACTAAGCTGAAATGTATAGATTTTTTAGACAATTGGCTATGATTAACCTAGCTGACGAAGGAGAACGATTTGATAATCCATTGGTTTCCTAGACTGTATCAGCTGGAAAATTTTTCTTTCTCGCAAGAGAGAGGAGATCGTGTGCACGAGTTGATGCAGACATCGAAATATGTTCAGTCATGGTTCTTTTTACACATCTTTCTGCTTACTGTTGGAGTTAAGATTGCAATTTTGTCACTCATGTAGGAAAAATACTGTGAATATCTCATCAAAGTCCATAAGTCATTTTTAGTTGGACGATTCCTTTTGCTAAAATCACTCAAGTGCCCGAGCAAATTCAGACGATGTAATTGTAACAAGATTTTATACTCAAAGATATGACTTTTGTTGCCTGAATTAAACCCATTAGAAAACTCTCAACTTTGTTTGTTTAGTCATTTTGATATGCTGTCTGCTATCAATTTTTTTTTTCAACATGGCGGGGGAGATTCAAGCTTCCGACTTTTTAATCGATAATATTAACTTATTGAACTATGTTTAAGTTGATCAATATAATTAACCTTTGGTTCTACTCAGAATGAAAGTACGTTGAACTGTGAAAAAGATCTATTATTTTCTAATTTTAAGAGTTTTTTTTTTATTCTGCCATTGTTGTTTTGTCCTAAAAAAGATGAATCTATGTTTGACTATCAATAGTAAGATTTTTATCTTTACTTTTTTTACCCTTTTTATCATTTGTTGGGTTCCATTCCATCATTATCATAATTGTGGAAGCCACTTAATTTCATTCCTTGCAAAGGTATAATTGCAAATATGGCAAAAATATTTAATAAAATAACAACTATATAGTACTTTTAAAAAAATGGTGGTCCATATTTAAATTGACAACTTTATATATACATCTATAATATATCTCTATTAATATGAATATATGATATACTTATAATATTTATGTGATATGCATCTGATATACTATTGATATGAGTGTCTGTGCAATATGTATGTGATATACATCTAATATACTTACTAATCTAAGTGAAAATTTTTGTTATATTTGAAAATTTAAAAAACATGTGACACTTTGAAATATATAAAATATTTTTGGTACCACTGCAATTTCTCATTTAACAATTACCTTTAAAAAAATTTATATAATATATATATATAATAGATAAGATATAATTTTCAACAATGGAGAAAAAAAAAATGAGGCACCTAGTTAAGACACCTATCTCTGACCAAAGAGTCATGAGTTCGAACGCCCACCTCACATGTTGTACTAAAAAAAACAATGGAAAATAAAAATTAGGTAAAGTTTTAGAGCTTAGTCCCTTTTTAAATTTCTAACCTAAAAATTAAATTTTAACAGTTGTGTCTAATATTAGGTAGCAAACTAATTTCATCTCAGTTTAAGCATTTAGAGACATTATTAAATTGACATTAAACATAAAATTAAAAATTCAAGAACCTAGTTAAATTTTAATTAATAGTCCATGATGATGATCAAAATAATATATTTTTTCAAAATTTATATATAAAAATTAAGGACACATATTAGTATTGTACACTGTTTTTCTTTCAAATTCCGAGGTTTAGTAACATTTTTATTTCGAGCTTCTATTTCCTCTTGAATTACATGGTTCTCAAAATCCATATATTCATAATGATAAAACAAAAGACATTTATTTTTTTGTCGCTTTTAAAATTTTTATACAATTTTGATAATATTTAAAAAAAATAAAAGAACTTAAATAATTCCAAAGACTTAGTTTTCTGGATAAAATTAGAAAAGAAAAATAAAAAAATGAAAACGTTAGGAAACGAGCTTAGTTAAATTTTGATAGTGATAAAAAAAAAAAGATAGAAAATGGAAGAGAAGAGAGAGAGAGAGGAGGATAAATAATCTGGATATTGGAGAGGAGGGGAGGAGACGATCCTTTCCAAAGTAAGCAGTGCTCACTGCGCACCGCCTTCTTTCGTTATCTTTAGGTTCGGTCCACCCACCTTCCATTTCAATTTCCATTTCCATTCCCCAATTTCCCAATTTCCCGATTTCTTACTTTCTTAGCTCTCGCAATTCCCATTTCTTTTCAATTGTTTGGAATTGGCCCAATTCGCGTCCTCCAGTATTGATATTTTTATGATACCCCCCCTCAGATCCTTCAAAATCTTCCGTTTCTGCCTTTAACGCTGCTCGATCTCGTTTCTGACGATCAAAATGCGTTTGTCCTTCTGTTCCTATGATTTTCACCCTCCGTTGCCCTTTTGATTTCGGCTTTTCTTGCTCCGTTTCTCTATTTGGTGGTTGATTATTATGAGGACCGGGTTCTGGGTGCCGGGAATTCTTGTGTTGGTGGTGCTTTTCGGGGGGCAACCGTGTTCCGCCAACTCGGTTAGGGTTTCGCATTCGGC